CTGGAGAAAAAAAAATTAAAAAATCCCCTGGAAGGTAATGTCATAATGTGCTAGTATATATTGCATGCTAACACATTATGCAGGACTTGCCTTAAAACAAAGCCCTCCAGTGGTGTGGTGTCACCGTTGCCGAGGCTTCTATTTTCACCTGGTCTTTCTTCTGGGTTTGTGAGTCCTGGCTGCCGTACTGGACGAGCCGCACTGACGGCGTGTGGGAGTCTTGGCACGATGCTCTGAAGGACCGGGATAGGTATGCCGTTCCTTCAGAGCGCATGCGCCAGTGGACAAAAAGAGCGAAAATCTCCTTAATGGGGTACATTTAGGAGGTATTTATTTTACCTACAGGTAAGCTTTATTGTAAGCTTACCTGTAGGTGAAAGATACAAAAGTGGGTTTACTCCCACTTTAAAGGCCAGGCTTCAGTTTTGGCCATTTTTTTTTTTTTTGTCCAAAGCCCCATTGCTTCTCACTCTTTTTGGTTTGTACTTTTTTGCGGGGAGTGATGCGTACTGTTCCTCCTGTCAGACAGCCCCTGTGTTCGTGGGACTTGGTCTCGGCAGTATTACAGAAACCAATATTTAATTCTATTAGGGAAATTTCTGTTCTGTTAACTAGGAAGGTTTTGTTTTTGGTGCAATCAATTCTGCAAGAAGGGTGTCAGAGCTCTCACTCCTTCTTGAAGTGCTCTCACTTTTTCCTAGTCCTCAGTCGGCAAAAGAGTTCTTTACATGCCCTGGATGTGGTACAGGCTATAAGAGTTGTCTTGAGGATGAAGGCACAAAGTCAGATTTCTTGTTTGTTCTGCCAGAAAAACTCAGGAAAGGGCAGGTGGTGTCCAAATCAACTATTTCTCGTTGGATCCAGCAGTTGATCATTCAAGCCTATGTTTTGAAGGGCTAAGGTGAGAGCACATTGTAGCAGGAGTGTGGGGGCATCTTGGGCTATCCGCTAACAGGCATCTGTTGCTCAGGTTTGCAAAGTCGCTATATGGTCTTCGGTTCATAAATTCACAAGGTTTTACCAGGTGGATGTCAGAGCCATGCAGGATTCTACCTTTGGCCGCAGTGTATTATGAACGGTTAAGTTAGTCCTTTGTGATTGATGGCGGTGAATATTATGGTGTCACCCACTCATCAGATTTGTATTGCTTTGGGGCATCCCACATAGTCTTTATTATAGCCTGCCCTGTGTTCCGTGATGTACATTAAAGAAATTGATTTTTTTCTCTACGTACTTACCTGTAAAATCCATTTCTTGGAGTTCATCACAGGACTCAGAGGTCCCTCCCCTCTTTCTGGATTTTCATTGCTTGCTACAAAAACTGAAGTACTTCCTGTGTAGAAGGGGCTATATGGGGGAGGACTTCCTGTTTGGTTGGCCAGTATCAACCTGTAGGTGGCATATAACGCACATAGTTATTATTATAGACTGCTCTGTGTCCCGTGATGTACTCCAAGAAATGGATTTTACACGCAAGTATGTCGAAAAAAATCCTATTTTTTGGAATTTTATCATGATTTGTTACTAAATGTTAATACATTATATTTGTGATGTCTTTATGTGAATGATACACATATATGCTTGGTTGTGTCCGCACTTTATCATATGTTTTGTCATAATGCATCATTTGTTTTTTCACTGAGCCGGTCCAGGCTGTGGAGAGATCCTGACTTTACTGGCATCTGGCTCAGCGCCACAGCCTGCCAATGAGAGCCTGAGCCAGCTACTCCTGCCCCCTCCACAGCTCGGAGCACCAGTGAGCGCTGAAGAGGCAGAGCAGAGAGCATGTGACTGCAGTCACCAGCTCTCTGCTCACTGAATACTGAGAACTGAGCGATCAGCGGTCTTTGAACGCTCAGTTCTTGCTCTTAGTGATGGCAGGAGAGCTGACGGGTTTAAGTAAAGAGTGGTGGATGACATGAAGCAGAAGGTTTCTTTCCGCTTCATATGTACTTGGTGATCGGCGAACATAAGAACTAGAAAGAAACAGGAGGTATGCCCATGGGAATAATCTGAAACAAGAACAATGCTCTGAGAAGGATGTCCATTTTGACTACACTGATTTTGCCCAGCCACAAGTGAGCTGGAGATGACCATCGCTGTAACTATGTTCAGTAAGGGCATATAATTTGCTGTAAAGAGAGAAATTCATGGCATACGCTTAATTCCCAAAGGGCTAAGATGATGTGTTTTCCATGAGAATGGGAAATTGGGTTTTAGATGGTTAATTGTAGTTTTATATAAAGTAATATTAAGAATTTGATTTGCTAAGGTTGATTTTAAAGGTGGATCTTTTACTATAGGTTGAATTTTTTTAATTGGATCGACGAGCACCGATACTTGTGTAGTGCAGTTTGCAGTGCACTTTGAGCCATACAAAATGAATGGCTCAAATTGCACCACACCCACAGGGAAACGACATGTGATTCAGACAGGAACCTCACGGCATTCCTGTTGAAATAACATGCTATTCTTTGCAGCGCGATTTGAGCCCATTCATTTTGTATGGGCTCAAATCGCACCACAAAGGTATCTGTTTCAGGTATCGGAGCATTTACACGAGTACAAGCACTCGTGCAAATGCTTAGTATCGGTATCTGTGCAACCCTACTATGTAGCATGTTGGGTCCTAAACCTAGGTGTTGAAAGGTTATCAGATAGTCACAGTGCACCCTATCAAATGCTTTCTCAGCATCTGTAGGTAGAAGAGTTGGCTGGAACTGTTTGGATAGATAGGACATGAATGAGATTATTCTTTGGGCATTAGCCTTCCTTTTCATGAGATAAATCCCGTTTAGTCAGGTGAAATCCATTGTGGAAGTGGGGGAGGAACCTCAGAGTTAAAGGTTTTGCATAGATTTTAATATTTAGTATCAATGTTAGTCTGTAACTGCCACAGCTAGTGGGGTCCTTGCCATGTTTGGTTAGAACGGTGATATATGCTTTTTAGGCCTGGTTCACTCCAATGCATTTTTTTTGTGCTTTTTGCAGAAACGCACCACAGTCACATTTTACCATGGCTTCTTATGGGACACGTTCACTTGTATGCTTTTTTTTGAGCCACTGTGTTTTTGTAAAGGATCAGGGACTTTTTTTAATGCTAAATGTTGTGTTTTTGGTTCAATAGACTTCAGTTGAGATGCTGCAGAAAACTCATATAATGCGTTTTTGACACGTTTGCATTTTTAATCTGCCCAGCAACAAGTTAGCCCAAGAAAAAACCTGCAAAAGGAAAACTGCATTGGTGTAAATCAGGCCTTAAAGTGGTTCTAAAGCATAAACATTTTTAACCTTAATGCATTCTTTACATTAGGCATCAGCATCTTCCATCACCTCCCTTTTACTTACCTGAGCCCTCATTTGATTCAGCGCCTTGTACGCCAGCAGCTCTCCTGTCCCTTTAGATCCGTGTCATACTGGCTTTGCTGGGGCCCTGGGTTCCACTGGCTCCCAGTACTGTCAATCAAAGTGACCAAGGGGCAGGGCCAAGTCTCTCTCCATCTATTAGTTGCACACTGGAAAAGCTTCCTAATATTTCCAGGGGGGTTTTAAGGGTACAGACGTTAAGCATTGTGATGAGTCCATGCTGGAGTCTAGGGCTATATTTCAATCACCAGCTAATATAGTGATCCTCAGGGTAAAAATAGAGAGTTTTACTAAGGTTAGAGAGAGAAAGGTAGAATGACCTTGATTCGGGCAGTAAACATATTAGTATTGCCAGTAGAGCCTTAGAGAAACAAGAGCGTATCAGAGGGCAGTAAAGCTGGTATTCGTGGAGTGTGTCAGGTGAATCTCTTGAAGAAAGACTATGTTTTAGTGAACAGTAGACGTGATGTTTTTTCCCAGGAAAGTACAGATCCACTCTGGGAAACTAAGCTGACAATGGCATTGCAACATTGCGAGAGTTGGGGGGTATGACATTTTGATATAGCATTCCATCAGGGGGGCAGCAGAAGTTGAGCTGTCATATAAGATGTTCATTTGATCCTCTCCTGGCCAGAAATTCACATTCTCTGCCATCCACTTCCCTAGCATGGACAATTGGTAGGCAGACTGTCTAAGCTGTCAACAGACCAGAAGAAATTACTTCTCCACCCTGAGATTTTTTTACTATATGTCGATGATGAGGGGAACTAAACGGGGACATCCTGACCTCCAGGTTCATCAACAAACTTCAGATTTGTAGCCAGGACCAGGGATCTTCTGTCCTTTGCTGTAGATGCCCTGGTAATTTTTTGGACTCCGTTAAAGCTGATCTATGCCATCCCTCCAGTAAAGATTCTGCCTCGACTTCTGCCAAAAATAGAGGTGAAAAGTGTTCCAGGGATTCACACACATACTCTGAATGTTGGCAGTCCAGCTTTTGCTTCTTCCAAATAGACTAGATTTACTGGCACAAGGCCACAAGCTTCTTGGTTCCTTGTCGAGGGGCTACTCTGCTGCATTCTGAACACAGGAAGTTAGCCACTCTGGATGGGTACCATTCAGAGAATACTTTGCATTTTGCCATTTAATGCAAATCCTTTTCTGATTAGACGAGATGGAGAAAGTGATATCACTGTCCCACCTCTCCACCTCGCCCGATAAGAGAAGGCTTTTGCATTCACTGAGAAAATACAAAGTGATCTCTGAATGGAACCCATGCCCAGAAGCAGACCTCCTCAGTTTAGAATGTAACAGGACAGCCACTTGGCAGGGGCCCCAGACGCTAGAAGAGACCACTGCAGTAGTGTGGTTCTACAGTGATTTCTGGCTTCTAGAGAGATACTACAGGTTCGGTACTGTATAAGCATAGTTACATTGGTCCAAGTTGTATCAATGTAATCAAATAGAAAAATATCCATACCTGGAATTTTTCAGGATTAAAAATGTTTGCCTTCAGTTATTCTTCAAACCGTAAATGTGTAAGATCTTGTTACTTATCATCAAGATATATCCCCAACTCGAACTGCATATAGGTTGCATACTGCATTTAGGTTTTTTTATTTTATAATTGCCAGTCTCAGATAATAAAGTAAGTGCTGTTTTGAAATTGCTGTGTTTGATTGCTACAGATCAGGGCAGTACATACAGTGGAGACTTGGAATCTGAAGCAGTTTCTACACCACACAGCTGGGAAGATGAATTAAACCACTACACGTTGAGGTCAAATAACTTGCAGGAAACTGATGCAGAGCTTCAGCAACTATCCAGAGTGGGGATTGAGCAGGACTTGGAGACAGACTTCCCCCAACAGGTTAGTCAATTGTAGATCTTTACATTTTTTTGTACCATTAAGAATAAACATACCAGGACATTTTAGGCTAGATTCACACATCGCATCTAAGGAATGTATGCACAATCATAAACATTCCCGACACGTGAAACATGCTGCTGCTTATCAGGGGTGCCATTGCTTCTTAATGGCACCCCCACACACCGGAAACTGCTGCACATTTTCACGTGCTAAACTGGCACCATGCAATAACAGTCCAGTGTGATTTTAAAAAAAAAAATTTGTCAACGATATTTTTCCTTGCATTTCTGTGGGAAGTACACAATATATGGAAAGTATTTGTGAGCGCAGATTTGAATGTACAAGCAGCTGGCATATAAAGGCAAACCTCTGCACCTCCAGTAGACAATGAAAATGATAAATATGCAGCGCTAAAATAATGACATAGTACACAATAGTAGTATTGATGAAATAAATGCAAATATAGTGAGCGCTGCTAAGGCACATAAGTAGTGGAGTGAAGATTACGTCCTATTATGACGTTACAGTGTGTCGATAAAGCCTAAATATGTGACAAAAGTGAATATTATTAATCAACTTAAATAACCGTCCATAAATGGGGGTGATCCGTGCTGGTAACTTCAGGCGCGGTGAGACAATGAGACTATGCACTTACCAGAAGCGCATAATAAATGCTCAAAAGAGTTATCCTTTATAAGTCATCTGGGTCTGGTCTAGGGCTGCGGGGTCATTAGGCTCAATGTTGACTTATAGGAATGATACTGCTCACACATAAGGGTCACACTCTGCTTACATAACCATCAGAAGAGCTCCAGGGAAATAAGGTTTGAAATAACCAAGCCAAGGAACAGATAGGTACTGATAGTGTAGTAAGGTGACCCCTTTGACAACGTGCTGGTGCACGACACGCGCCAGGGAGGAGCCCACCGGAATGATGTCACGCCGCACACGGCCGTGAGCAGGGCCGGCGGCCATCTTTCTACAGTATACCTTGATCACATGCATGTGAGTTCTACCTGTTTACATTTGGAGTGTTCGTTTGTCATCTAATAAAAACATACTACACTATCAGTACCTATCTGTTCCTTGGCTTGGTTATTTTGAGCCTTATAAGGTGGAACTTCATCTGGACCTGGATTATTTCCCTGGAGCTCTTCTGATGGTTAGGTAAGCGGAGTGTGACCCTTATGTGTGAGCAGTATCATTCCTATGAGTCCACATTGAGCCTGATGACCCCGCATCCCTAGACCAGACCCAAATGACCTATAAAGGATAACTCCTTTACGCATTTATTATGCGCTTAGTCTCATTGGCTCACCGCACCTGAAGTTACCAGCACTGGTCACCCCCATTTATGGACTGTTATTAAGGTTGATTAATAATATTCACTTTTGTCACCTATATTTATGCTTTATTGACACATGGTAACGTCATAATAGGACGTAATCTTCACTCCTACTTATGCGCCTTAGCAGCGCTCACTATATTTGCATTTAGTTTATCAATACTACCATTGTGTACTATATGTCATTATTTTAGCGCTGCATATTTATCATTTTCATTTCTTTGGGAAGGACAGCCTTACACAGAAAACACTGTGTGCCTGCAGTGATGTGATCAAAACCTTATTCTAGCTTGAATATCCTTACATTAACGATGCATGTGTAAAATGTGCAGATCTGAAGTCCATATTTTTTGTTTAATAGATACTTTGGCACAAACTGCAATTAACCCTTTTATTGCCACCGAAATAACATATTACTTTGGTGTCAGTAACAATATGTAAGCAAACTCAGGGCCACAATGGCAGCAAAGGGTTTACTTTTTTAAAAGCGGAAAGAATCTGGCGTCCATGAAACCAGGTGAAGCAATTGATCAAGGATGGTGTTTCCTTGATTAGTGTTGTCTGAGTGCAGAAGAGGCATGTGAGTTTCAAAAGACCCCTGATGTCTCCATAAAGAGTAACTGTTGCTTAAAAAGTGCTGTCACGTAGGGGGGCTTATCAACCTTCTGGTGATAGCAATAAAGTTAAGTGAAAAAGAAATAAATATGCTAAATTGAAAAAATATATTTTAAAAAAAGTTCCACCCCCTACATATGTACAGAAACACACTTGTACATATACGGCAATTGCAAAACAGGTATTTGATATCACAGGTGCATGTAACTAACAAATTGGCTGTCAGGTGGAAGCAGTCGGGTGGCTGTACAGCTGCTTGATTGCTTTCATGGAGACCTGGTGCTGCAGCCTCCCTCCTGCTATATTTCCTAAGCTCCACCCTCCCACCTGTGGGCAGGGGACCCCCTTGGGAGGTGTCCCTGGGTAGAGTAGAGGGAGATCAGAGATCTCCCATTGATCTCCCTTGGCTAGAATGAACACTGAAGCGATGTGCATTATGTCACTTCCGGTTAGGGCTGTCACTTTCTCCAACCACAAGGCAAGGGAAGAAGCTAGTGAAGCGAAAGCTGTGCTCCACTGGCTTTAGTGGAAAGCATGTGAGCCATCAGGGGATTTACACGTTACAAATCGCCACACATTCCGGAGTGCGAGCAATAATTCTCAGGCCATTATTCATAGTTACTGTAACTCTAACCTGATGACCTGTAATTTTTAATGATTTGCCTGTGAAAAATTTCTAAGTACCAAAGTTGCTATTGTTTCACAGACCTGTGCAATTTTAAGGTATCTGTTTACTCAGCACAACCTCATCTTTTACATGTATTTAATGTTTGGTATCTATGTACTCAACATAACCTCATCTGTTATATTTTACCAAAAAATAGGTAATATTTTCTGTGTTTGTGCCTGAAAATTAATTTAAATGTTTTTTGTTTTTACAGACAATTTCTGCATGATAAACCATTGCATTAATATTGTGTAACATAAACAAATTGGAACTACTACTGCTTTACTTCTCTAGGGCCTCTGCTTTCAGAAAATATATAATGTTTAACTTATATTCAGGCTTAAAATGATGCCTTAATCATACAGTACAGGGCACAGGCTGGCTGGACACTGGCAAAACATTTGAACACACCCCCTAAATCCTCCATTGACCTCAGGTTTTTATTCTTAACTATTTCCCATTTATTTGGGTGCCTACTATGGCACAGAGTGCAATGCTTATTAGCTGCAGGGTACTATACAGATCTAGGGTTATTCCTATGGTCCCCAGACCTTGAAGACTTCCACTACCACCACCATACCCACTGAGATGAGCAAGCCTTATAGCAAGTATGAGCCTTCATATCTCCACTACACTTTATTAGTGGCTCCTGAGTAGTATTCATTTTCATGTTAAACCTGTATTTAAGGTTGACTTTCTTTTACGTTCATTGTTAGGCACAGCTCTTCCGATTCTTGACTCTAGGGTTTATAGTGCCACCTACAGGAGTAGGGCACTAGGCAAAAAAAAGAGCACTGCACTCCTATGGGCAGTCCTAGCTAGTATGAACCCCCTCTCTGTTGTAGGCAAGGCAGTTATTTCTTCCTAGTGTTTCAGATGTAAGGACATAGTTCCCTGCTTGGACCTGTGGTTACATAGCTTTTTTGCTGGGAATTTTTTTCTGTGGAGATCTTCATTCAACAGCTTGGCAACAGACTGAATAATCCAGTGGTCACCCCAGCCTGGCTAACGCATTCAGCAGCTTCAGCTACGTGCTGGGTCGCCTGTGATAGCTCCTGCCTGGACTGGGACTCCACTTCGGTAGCGGAGGATCTGTCATTGGAGCCTTACCCGCACGCTCTGCTGGATCGGTAAGTAGATGCCCCCTCTCAGACCTGATGTGGAGCGTGGATACTCCCTGGGGTGGACAGTCCTGCAGGGTCCCCTCCTACCCCCGGCCTCCGGTATTTCTTCCTGTCTCCCTGGCTGGGCTACCTCCCCTCCCCCTACTTCCCAGTTCCTGGCGTTTGGGCTGATTTTCCTGGCATCCCTGGGTGGAAAGAGGCTTTCTCACTTGTATCTACATTTTTGCATTGTGGGGGTCACCTTCAGGGTGGTCCGGGAGACCACATTGCAGCTGCCATGTGCTTTACTGTGGTAAGAAGCCATTTTTCTGGTGATCTGATGGCCATATTGGAGTTGACAGGAAGGGTGGACCTTCCAATTGACTTATGTGGGACCTTGCTGTTGAAGTGCTTGGCGGCCATTTTCTTGTATCCACACAGTGGCCATCTTTTCAGCGATCCCCATCAGAAGCTGGATACAGAGATGGTCCCTGGGACAGGAGGGCGTGCTTTCTGAGCCACATTCAGCAGAGCAGCATCCACAGCTGGCTCACTGACCACATCCACAGGCAGTATCCATGTTGGCACCCACAGCGCTCCCCTGGTGGTTGGGTGGTTTGTGAATCCTCCCTGGGGTACCTACTTCTCTGTTATAGTCAGCCTGAGGGGGCTTCTGTTCCCTCCCCATTCCCCTGGGTGTCCCAAGTTTTTGATGGTGCCTTGCCTGAGTGAATGGGCTGTATGGAGTCTTTAGCGCACGTGTTCCCTCCTGATCCTTTACGGAAGTGGCGGGTTCCTCGGGGTCCTCTGTTCCCTTAGATGTGTTGCCGGTGGTCCTAGAGTTGTTCATCTCCTGGGCAGAGGCAGCGTTCAGTGATCAAGAAGTGCCCCTAGCTACCACTTGCATCTTCAGATGGTTCTGAGCCCAAGTTGGGCTCCGCCTCTGCAGGCTCTGCATTTTCTGTGGGTCCTGAGGATGCCTCCTCTAATTTCTTGGACAACGACTATATAGAAGTCCTCTTACATCTCCTGAAGAAGCGATATCGCGAAACATGTTGAGCTATTACTACTATCAGTTCAAGAGTATCCCTTGGCTATTGCCGCACCTGCGGCATATTTTTGGCAATGTGGGAGAGGCCATTAATATGTGAATCTGCATTCATTATATTTTTTATATGTTGCAGGGTTAGAGTATATTCTGTAACAATTTTTGTTTTATATGTGTATGTACTATTCTGCGCATGCTCAATAAAGTATCAGTGTCTATAAA